AACCCTCCTTCACCTACTCTCACCCGCTATCCCCAAACCTCTCCCCCTCCCACTCTCTCATCTTCTCTCTCCCTCTCTCTCCCTCCCTCCCTCCCTCTCTCTCTCTCTCTCACTCTCTCTCTGTCCCTCTCTGTCTCTTTTATTTACGCGCGCGCCATTCTAGCTGATTCATATAAAGTTTAGAATAAATGTTATAAATCATAAAAATAATCCCTGTAGTGTAATATAAGTATAATATCCGACTCCAACATACGATATATTAGGTGTATACAGTTTGAAATTTAGAGAGGGGGAGAGGGAGAGAGTGTGAAAAAGAGAATGAAAATAAAATGAAACGATATATAAGCAGCCGGATCATGTAAAATCTAACGTACTATCTTTTTTTAAACTGTTATTGAACTTATTTTAAATTTATAAATCCTCATAAAAATTTCACAGTTCAGCATTATATAATATATCCCTCTAAATCTTCCGAAGCATAATTTCTGTGGAATATTATTCATTGCATAAATTATTCTGTATTATGTTATACCGTATATACCAACAAGTCGAAGAATCGGAGAAACAGTAGCAAAAAGCATATTTCGGAGAATAAGAAAATATTGGCAGCGTCGCATTCACATTCATATAAGATCTATGTGTAGAAAAGAATAATTGGCAACGCAGCACACACGCGTTTGTCCAAAGTCTGTGAGAAAATATATATATGAAAAAATACGAAAAGGAGACAGCGCGACATGTCGCTGCTCACTGAACATCTTGACAATCGCTTCATCTCGCATATATATACATACATACATATAAATTATAAATTAAATTATATATATATATAGCTAATTTAATTTAAGACATTACATGTGAGGTTGTGATTGGTGTGTACGACATACGTGTGGAATATAAACGTCTTCCGACTGATTGTGAATGCAACCTAATGAGCGTGCGATCGAGGGAACGAAGATACGAGAGAGTTTCAAACACTAATCTTTTTATTAGCTATACAGATTGAAAAATCCTTTTGCACAATGAAAGTACTTATAATAACGAAGGCCGGAAGACAAAGTTTTATGTAAAATTCAATGAAAAATTTTACAATTACAGTTTCCTTGTCATAACATTACTCTACGCATGAAACAGACAAGGATAGTACGATTGTGTCTGCCTGCAGCTCCATCGATCATGATTATGCGGAACTAATCTACTGTTCTGTTTTATCCAAAAATGTAGCTAACACAATTCCGTATGCATTACATTTTTCTCAAACACTATTTTTTTTACACTGACTTCTAAGCTCATTTCTGTTACTTCAGTTTTATTCTTTCATATTATGGCTAGTACGGAAGCAAAAGCTTTTGCATGGATAAACTGCAGAACTTTTATAATTAATAAGTAAAGTTACGAGCTGACACAAAACATGATAACGAAACTGTAATTTTGAAATTTTTCATTGAATTTTAGATAAAACTTTATGTTCCGTACTTCGTTATTATAAGTACTTTCGCTGTACAAAAGGATTTTTCAATCTGTATAGCTAATAAAAAGAATAGTGTTTGAGAAAATTGAGTCAATTTGTCGGTAAAACAGACGACTCCAGGATCCCCTTAACGCCGGGAATGCCGGAAGTAAATTTCGCGCGTTCGTCGCGATAAAATATCGTCAAATAATCGTCACAAGTGATGATCCTGCGATCGTCGGCTTGTATGAAGCGTCTAACAAAATATCGCGCATCGGTTATATTACGGCGGTTTATGTGCAGGTCTGTGTTTGTTATGTTTTCGTCTCGTTGGTAATGAGCCTCGCGCGCGAATCATTGCCGATACACAGAAAATGTGTTTCGGGTGCGCTTGTGTCGTGAAATATTATTAAATAATCATCGCAAGAGGCATCTGACGAAATGTATCGTTGCGAGGAGGTGCTGGGTGAAGGATCGCGCAATTACCGTGCAATTTGAAATTTAAGGCAGATTTCGGCCCGCAGAAAATAAATGGTAAGATAAATGAAATAATAAAGCGTTATTTTAGAACATAAAGATTGTTACAGTTACTTATATCGGACATTCGAAACGGAATTAGTTATGTCAGTGTTCTCTAATTATGTCCGGTCTTCAATAACATCCCGTCGAGGAGATGCATTTGATTTACTGTGGAAATATAATATTGTACATAAAAATATAATACTGGAAATATCAAGAGAAAGTACAGGGTATATAAAAAATACTGAGACGGCGAAATATTTCGAAAACTAAGCATTTAAAAAAGAAAATGTTTCAGATAAAAGTTGTATGGTTTCAAGAAAGACATAAAACAATACACATATATCATTGTGTTTACAGATGGTGCCGCTTTCGAGATATTCATTGATCATTACTTTTCTTAAATGGAAACTCCAATTTTTTATTATGTTATTTTTTCTACCAATCAATTTTAACAACTTTATTTGAAATGTTTTTTACTTGCCTAATATTTTTTGAGATATTTAAGGAAAACTTAATAACTTTTTCAACATTTAACTTACGATAACTATTTGTCGAAAGAAAAAGTGGTACTAGATTTTTGCACTCTATTTGGTCTCAAGAATATATTGTTATAATAGCGCCCCGACTTTTATTAATTTGATGATTTTGAAATTTCCAAAGGTTGATAAGTTAACAAAAGTTAGGGCACTATTGCAACAATATACACAGTCTGTCCCAGATACGATGAGACTGGTTCCATCAAAATTCTTAGCGCAGCGATATCTATGAGTGAATGACGGTAGGTGAATGTTCTACCCTTCATCTACTTAACCTCAAAATTTGAGTGAATTCGGTTGATATTTCACTATGGTTTGACATTTTATGTAAAGTCACTTTGTGTACGTCGGTCGAAAAACCAACTTTTAAATTGGGTAAAAGTGGTGCAGAAACGTACGAAATGCTAAAAAATGTGTACGGGGATGAATGCATGCCCCGTGCACAGGTTTTCCGTTGGTTTGGCCGATTCCGTGACGGTCGTGAGGACCTTGCAGACGATGACCGAGCACCGCCGCCAAAAACCACTCGCAATGAAGAAAACATCGAGAAAGTCAAAGAAATTCTTCGAAGCGACCGCTGTGTGTCTGCCCAGATATTATCTGGGAGTTCTACAACGATTGTGGGCCAGAATTTGACGAGTTCGACCGGAATATCGAGAGCCAGGCAGTTGGTTTTTGTTGCACGATAATGCACCATCGCACAAAACCATCATGGTACGTGAATTTTTGACCAAAAAAGGCATCATTGTTATCGATCATTTACCGTATTCACCTGATTTGGCTCCGTGCGACTTCTGGCTATTTCCCAAACTGAAATTGGCGATGAAAGGAAATCGTTTCGATACCATCCCGGTCATCCAAAAGACTTTGACCGCCATACTAAATGCCATTCCAGCCGATGAGTATAAAAAATGTTTCGAAAAATTTGTTGAACGTTTCCAGCGTTGTATTGACTCAGAAGGAGACTATTTTGAATAAACAAGAATAAAAAATCAAAATAATAAACGCTTTGTATTTTTTTTAGACCAGTCTCATTGGATCTGGGACAGACTGTGTATTCTTGAAACCAAATAGAGTACTAATAGTCTAGTATTATTTTTTCTTTCAATAAATAGCGAGATATCGTAAATTAAATGTTGAAAAAGCTATCAAGTTTTCCTCAAATATTTTTAAAAAATATCTTAGAAAAATACTAGGCAAATAAAAAACGTTTTTTAGACAAAAGTTGTTAAAATTAATTGGTAGAAAAAGATGATATGATAAAAAATAGGGGTTTCCATTTAAAAAAAGTAATGATCAGTAAATATCTCGAAAATGGTGCTATCTGTAAACAAAATGATTTAGTTGTTTTATGTCCCATTTGAAATAATACAACTTTTGTCTGAAATATTTTTTCGACATTCTAAAATTCTTAGTTTTCGAGATATTTTGCCGTCCCGATATTTTTTATACAATCTATATATTCGTAATATGATGAAACACGTCACGACATTGGTATTGCAGAAAAGATTTCATGGAATAAATTCTTTATTCAATTATTTAACATTACATGTACATTTTTAAAATTTATAATTAAATATAATCACAAAAAAAGAAGTAATATGCTCGCTGCTCCGAGAGAAATTGTTTATACGCATGAAGTTATACTTATCCCTAGCATCGATAGGAATAACAATGTTATATTCTTAGCTAGCACCATTAATCAACAGAAAATTCCAAATTTGCTTGTTCGGGGAAAAGAGGGAAAGGAAAGTTCACTAAGGAAATATATTAAATTCTATCAAAAAATTGCTATGTATATATATATATATGTATATATTAAACTTGTGTGTGAATAAATAGATAAAGTTATTACTTTTTACTATAGAGAATGATCATTCAACTGGTGTTATATTACTTTCGTTCGACTATTTTTCCATACTTAGTTATAGCAACAGGAATCGTAGTGTTTTCCATGGTTCTAAATCTGCACATTTTGTGACTACCAAAAATACTAATTTTCACTAAAAAATATTCCGCATGCTCTTAGGCTTTGTTGCACAATTACTTTTGCATTGAAGAGCGCTATACGTTTTAATTTCTTATAATTTCAAATTATATATTCCACGGTATACGTATCCGGAGCGAAATGTTTAGGCGAAATGAGTGTGTGCACATGATTGATGTCGCTTGTACTTTGTCATGATCCTTTAACGTTGTTATATAACTATATTTTTGGTTTACGCAGATCTCAATTAAAACGATAGAAAAATAGATTGTACATCTCCAATTCTGTAAACATCGATCTTACTCTTGTATAATTAATTAATAATTAACATATCTCCACTACGGTTGCGTTAATTAAACAATTTTAATATTTAAATTTTACGAGGGAGAGAGAGAGAGAGAGAGAAAGAGAGAGAGAGAGAGAGAAAGAAAGAGAGAGAGAGAGAGAGAGAAAGAGAGAGAGAGAGAAAGAGAGAGAGAGAGAGAGAGAGAGAGAGAGAGAGAGAGAGAGAGAGAGAGAGAGAGAGAGAGAGAGAGAGAGAGAGAGAGAGAGGCGAATAACTGTTGTCCGTAATATTTGTTGAGAAATTACAACACGTGTCATTCGCATCGATTGATATATTGCAAACCTTTGCGATTTACGCACTTTCCAATGCCGTGGATTTTCCGATCAATAAAATTCTAATCAAATCGAAGAGGCACTATCTATATAAAATTATGAGGAAAATCTTGGGTTAACTCCTTTGGCATGTCCACAGATTACTTAAATCAAAATGCTGCTCGAAACGATCACAAGATACACATGTGTATATAATTGACGAAAACCTGGCATATACTTTTCATAGTCTAACACAATTGATTTGATCTTTGTGATAGCCAGCCAAGCAAGTACGTATGAGGAATGTTGTTACTATACATTATGTGTAAAAGATAAGCTCGGGTATTTGACCTACGTCAATGGATGTGCCATTATTATCTCCAGTCTCGTTGCTAAATTCGAACTTGACCTTGCCGTTGCCGGAATCACAATCCACCATCACCGTGCGTAAGCCCTTTGTGCCATAATATGAAAATGGCCCCTGAAACACAGCGTGTTCCTCATTAATCATACATGTGCGATAATACCCAGCTAAGTTGATCGGTGAGATTCAATCAGAGAGCTACCTTGAACGTAGTTGACGCGGTATAAACCGTATTTGGTAAGATCTCCGCTAATTCTTTGAACATTAGACAGTACGTGTACTTTGAACCATCACAGCTGAGACTTGTTGCATTAGTAGCTATCACTTTTCCCGACGCCGTGTGAATCAATTCCACCGACGCCTCGTACGTCGCCGGCTTCTGCATGCTACCGTAGACCCCGTAGCCGATCAGGAAGATTCGTCTGTCCACGCTGAATCTGAATGAAGAGCAACGCGTTGTGTGACGTCGCGCGTTTCAAACGTCGCTCGTGAGATACGAAGCATGATTATTACCGGATACGATCGCTGGTTCCGCTGTATCCCCACTTGCTCTCGGTATGCTGAAACCTGCACACGGTGTGTTCCTTGCCCGTCATGCAGCATCGCGGCATCGTTTGAAAGTCCACCAAAGGCTTGGGATTCAGTATGAAGTACGAAAATAAAGATAGGACCTGCAAGAGGAGTATTCATTCATTTAGCGTTATCCGCAGATACTCGCGGCGAACACGGGCGATTTGATTTCTGTTCAACACCTTCCTTCATCCGGTGTAAGATACTAGCCTCTGAATAATTCAACAAGCCAGATTGCGCTGGACCAGCCGTGAATTCTTCCTTCGACATAAGCGGGAAGCGAACCAAGGACAGGGCGTTGCCCAAAACTTGGCGTTGATTTTCCGGAGTGACTGGTAACTGCTGTCTCACACATTCGGCCTCGGACCACCTGCAAGAGAGTTCAATTATGTTGAATGTACGAAACGGACAGCGTCAGAAGAGAGCGATCGCCGCGATCTCGCGACACACCTTAGAACAGCTTGAAACAGCTTCGATTCCCTGACGCGTAGAGTATCTCTTTCCAAGACCACCATCAGCGTGTCGATATCAATATCGGTGAAGCCGTCCGCATTGAGAGCCTCGGTCGTGAATCGATCTATAGTATCCAAACACACGGAGGCTAATTGCGGCTCATCGAACAGGCGTGCCTGCGTCAACAGCAGGAAAGCGTTATCACTGGTTAAATTATTCTTCAAAAAGTCAACGCAATGCTTCTCCAAAGCGGACACCGCGTACTTCTTGGCGGTGTACAGCGTTGTCATCACAGTCTCAGGGTCTATCTGTATCTCATCAGTGTATAGAAAAAGGAGCACTGCCAGAAATGCAGCGGGTTCTACATCAGGTACTTCTATCTCCGAAGAAGCTGTCGCGAACATGCCATTGAACATCGCGTCGAACACGGCGCTCCCAGAGGACAGGACTAGTTTGTGCGCCGGTATGCGTTGCTGCTCCCTCCTCCCCACCAGGAAGGTCACATCCGACAGTATCTCGTTATTGAACAGAAACACGATCCTCTCGCGCATCGTCGCCTTTGTACCCTGCCAGTTGTACTTGACCGCACGGTTATGCGTCGCGCTGCACTGCTGATTATGCGTGGAGGAGTTCTCCAAGGCGACGTTGTTCTGCGAGCGTCCCTCCAGATACGACGCGTTCGCCGCGTTGGTCGGCGGCCGGCTGAAACATAGGAAGCAACGCATCAATCGAGCGATAACGTACGACATCCGACAATTAATTATCAGCAGTCCGTCGCAAAATCGCAAACAGCATGATAGAAGAGTAAAAAGCGTACTATACAAAACACCTCGACCGCGGTCGCGGGATCACTTTACTCACTTATCAGCGTTGGCGAGCGAAGTCTCGCTTCGCGCAGCGGACGAGCTCGTCGGCTGGTCTTCGCAGTCGCAGATGAAGTTGAGCGCGCGCCGTGTTCGGGAGAGGGTGACGTTGCCGATGGTCTGCATGTTCCGCGAGGGTTCCCGCGACGACGGTCCGCTCCCGTCGCCGACTCCGTCGCGGCTGGCCGAGCCTGCCGCCGCCGTCGTCGTCGCCGCCGTAGTCGTCGCTGTGGCCGTGGTCGTCGCCGTCGTCGTCGTCGCCGCCGAGGCAGCAGCGGCTGCGTTATCCGTCACGTCGGCGTCCTCGCTGCCAGCCGCAGCCTCCCGGTAGCCCTGCGTCGTCAGACGCAGGCTCTGCAGCCTCGACGCGACGTTCGGCACGTCGCTCAGGGAGGTCTCCGTAGAAGACATGTTCGCGCACAAAACGTGGTACTTGCCGAAGTACTGCCCCGTCTCATTTAATCGCGTCACTTCGCGCCAACGCGGAGCGGCGGCGAGGGAGCTCGCCGAGAGCACGATTTTTCAACTTCGCGCTCACGAGCCTCTTCCTCCGCCCTTGTGCGTCGCCTTCCTCGCCAAACGAGAGCCGGGTGCTCGCAACAGGCCACGCAGAAACGTACGGCCACGCGCCTACAACGACGACGTCCCACCGTCGCGACTCCTGCTCCTCCTCTGCTCCCTCGCCGCCTTCGGCTTTCCGTTCTCCCCGAAGCCCGGAGCCCGGAGCCTTCGTCTCGCCTCGCGAGCGGAGCGACAAAACGGCGCTGCGCTGCGAGCGCCGTTCGAGATACATCCGTTGCGGATGTTACCCGCTATCGGGACGAGATCCACTGGCGGCATCGGCTGTGCGCGACTGCACCGACCGCGTGTGTGGGTTTTTGGCAGTGGGCAATGGGCTCGAGTTTTTTTTCTTTCTTCTTTTCTTTCTTCTCGCAGTGCAGTTCCAAATACGAGGATTCAGCGAGAGAATTTGCCTCGGAAAAATTCGCACGAATTTTCGGACTCTCGTTTGCGTCCTGCAGCATCCAGAAAAGAGCGCTCGAGCCGTTTGGATGGAGCCAATGTAAATTACGCGCGATAATGCGCCCGATATGCACCGCAGTTGCTGCATTCGTTAGATAAGAGTCGCAAGCGCGACTAAATTTTTCCGACCGCTCGGAAACGTTCGGTCGACTGAGAATAATAATCGGAGAACGCTCTCGCGTTATCGGCCGCTCTTCAACGAACACACCTGATGCGCTATGCACCGTTCGCAATTATCTCGGCGTTTCGTACGTTCACGCGCGCACGTTTATCGCGCGAAAGTATTATATATTGCCGTGCAGTTGCGCTCCCCTGCGACTATCGTCTCACTAAGATAACATTAAAGACCGCTAGTTTATCGGAACTCACGTAGCTCGAAAAATGTGCCGTGCAGTAACGCCCTCTCAGGAAACATCATCGCGAATAGAGCTCTAAAAGAACGAGCCGGCAGAACAGGTACGGCGATAACGAGAGGGAGAGGAGAGAATTTATACTCGTTCTATAATTCCTATACATGGGACGTAAGTGAATATCCATTAGAAACTTCCAGGACGCGTAGCGGAATTATAGTTGATCAAGTTTTGATCAGGAACCCGAGTTCGAATATGTTGCGTTTCGTGCTGCAAACAAGAGAAAAGTCCGACTGCGTGCTTGATCGAGAAAGATTATGGGCCTGTTTTTTTAGCTGCATTGCTGAACCGGTGCAATAAGTTAGAGTGAGACAACTATACTTTTTCTCACTCTGACTTATTGCACTAGTTTAGCAGTGAAGCTAAAAAGGACAGACCATATATACGGGGTGTCCGGGATCTTTTGGAAACGAAAAATTATAAAGATTAATCAGATCAAACTGAGAAGAAAAGTCATGTACCATTTTGCAAAAAGCGCAATAGTTATTAAGTTATTAATGATTGAAAATAATCAAGCTTTTTTAATTGATAACTTGAGAATTTGTGTAGTTATTTGCAAAATGGTGAAGGACCTTTTTGTTCAGGATGATTTAATCTACAATCTAATTTACAATTATATGACGATTGTTGTATCTAGCGATAGACACCTGTGATAGATTTTGAACCTGTCGCTAGGCATTTTGCAAGTAAGTACGCAAATTTTCAAATTATCAGTTAAAAAAGCTTTCAGATGTGATCATTTTCAATTATTAATAAGTTAATAACTAATGCGATTTTTGCAAAATGGTACTTGACTTTTCTTTTCAATTTGATTTGATTAATCTTCACAATTTTTCGTTTTCAAAAGATCCCGGACACTCTGTGTAATTATAATATATAAAATCATGTATAAACTGTATATAATTATACAAGGTATTTAAGAATAGATAAAGGTTGAGGACTTCAAGGACAAACAGTGCTTACAAGATAGAGGAAAAAAATCATAATAAACATGAGTCGAAAAATTAATATTATCGGAGTTATAAAGAATCAGTTATCTTAATTCAAGCAAGTGACTTGCTCATTTTGGTGCTTTTGTATTTTCTAATATAATTTGTCTATATCATTTATCGATGAAGAGAGAGTATCATGCTAAAAAAGAATTTCTAACAAAATCTTTTCACTTTTGCTTAGAATGTAAACAAACTTCTATTTTCTTCCCATTTATATGCTTCACCAAGCAATTGTTAATTATATATCGTCATAAACAGCGAACAGTTGCAGAGAGCTATCACAAAGTTTTCACAGTAAGAATGACATCGTATTACTTAAATCAAGAAATGGCGGAAATGTATTTCATGTATGGCCATACACGAAAAGTACGTAAATCATTTGCTTTGATTAAAATAAATAATTGTTCACAACTCCGTCAATATTAATTTTTTAATACATGTTTATTAGGACTTTTTCCTTCCATTTTGTGAATATTCCTGCATAGCACAATGACATCTTCCGGAAATCCTAAGGACATCCAGGACGAACATTGTGGAGATCCTGTAGATATTCAAATTTTATCTCGGGATATACTTTAGATGTCATGAGGAAGAGAAAATGATAGCTGTGAATACTAACCTTTAAGACATCCAAAGGATATCCTGTCGGACATCCAGAAACTTCTATGGAACATGCTATGAATATTTCTTAAAAGTTTAAAGGAAAAGAAAAAAATAGAGTGTATTAAAATTGCTCTTTCCGAATAATGTCGAGTTATGTCTTTTCTGCTTGAATCATAAATATAAGAAAAAAAACATTTGACTCGATTTTAAATCAAAATTGGCAAAATGAATACATTAATTATTCAATTTTTTCATTTTATTTAATTATTCATTTTATTTATTAATTGTTTCATTTTTAGAAACAAAAAAATTTTGAATCTTTTTAAATTTTAATTTCTTAGAATTTTAAAATCTTTTGACTCTAAAAGAAATCGAGCTATTAATATATTCAATTTGTTAAGTCTGATTTAGGATCCAGTTGAATGCTTTCTTTTCCTTATATTTATCATTTAAACGAGGAAAACAGAAAGTACACATATCTCAACATAATTCGAAATCAGCAAATTGAATCAGCAAATATTGTTGTTAATACAACAAGAAATAAATAAAACTATTTGATGTCAACCTGGAGGCTGTGAATTAAAACTATAACCTCAAATTTGATACAAAGACGGTACATAAAAAAGAAATGTCTATTTTATTGAGTAACATAGCAATAATTTTCCAAGCATCATCTTTTTTCTCTACTCCTAAAATCTGATTCAGTTTTATTAATTAGAAATTGATTTGTCTTTATGTGTAAAATTATTGATTGTATTTCGGACTCATATCACTTTCCTGCAATTGCTTCAAGCATATTCAATTCGTACTGCTTTTCAGTATCCATTTTTTTTCAAATTAATGGAATGCGCATAAGATACCTACAAAAATATAAAAAATTACACTACACCATTTATATTATACAATCTACATTTATGGTGTCGTGTTTCATTTTTCGCACTTTTCTTGAACTCGATTGATTGGCTGAGATGTTGCGATTATCGGTTGCTGTCGCCAAGAAGTTAAAAGTTGCACAACTCTTATTTAGCAACCGCGACTGTATGTTGCAACCAGAAATAGCACTTTGCAATTAGTAGTTGCCATCCTTCACAACTCACAACTGAGTGTTTGCAATTTATTTTGGGTCGGCCCTAACTGTATTTATACAACAGCATTTTTTCTCTTATAAACATGCATAACTAAATATGATAATACAGGGTGTCCTATTGTAAACAGTGGGCCCGAATATCTCGAAAACTGAGCCCGATAGACAAAAATGTTTCAAACAAAAGTTGTATGGTTTCAAGGAAAACATGAAACAACTATATCGGTTTGTTTATAGATGGCGCCACTTTCGAGATATTCACTGATCATTACTTTTCTTAAATGGAAATACGAACTTTTTATTATATCATCTTTTTCTACCAATTAATTTGAACAACTTTTGTTCAACTAAAATGTTTTTTTATTTATCTAATATTTTTAAGGTATTTAAGGAAAACTTGGTAACTTTTTCAATATTTAACTTATGATATCTCATCAACTGTTTATCGGAAGAAAAAATGGTACTAGACTTTTTTTATACTCTATTCGGTCTCAAGAATATATTGTTACAATAGCGCCGTAACTTTTGTCAATTTACTAATTTTGAAATTTCCAAAACTCGTTAAGTTAAATGTGTTCCCAAAAGAAAAAGTCGATTAGCGCGCGATCGGAATTTGTTGGCCAACTATAACTTTCCCGCGTGCCCTGAAAGTTCGTAATGTATATTCTTTCGCCACCTTATATATCTTTGCTTCGGCAGAGGTCGCCAGAATAAAAATGCAAATCGTCGAGTCAGGTTTTGTAACAAGTGTATTAATGACGTTTATGTACAATGTTTACATGATACAGGAAACATGCGCGCACGTTCACGATGTTACGTATAAATACAACAAATACTCAATCAGCCCGAATTCACGTGAATTATTAATACGGCAATAAAACGGCGAAGTGTAACATCTGCCGGGGGGGAGAGGGAGGGGAAGAGGGGAGTAACTAGACAGCCATGTCAATTCAATCGCGTTGACATGGCTGTTATATCGTTATCTGTGTTAAAACACTGTTCACTCTGGATAATATTATTGCGGAACATACATAAACATCGCGAGGCAAATAAACAGCGGCTTGTGTATTTCTCGCGCGGTGATATGTACACGCATGTGTATTAAAGATCTCTCGGGGAATTAACGCAATACAACATAGAGCTACCTTTCGTGGATTAAAAGTTACAAATCTCCTCGCGAATGAACGCGCGTAGCGCGCTCATTGATGCACGGAGAAGCAGCCGAAGGCATCAATGGCCACCGTGCAAAATAGATTTACCGGTAAAGAAGGGGGAAAACAGTTGGCGCGTTCGTTAGCTTTGCCTTACTTTATTTATATCTCGCGTGAATCGCATCCCGATGCGCAGTGACAGACCGCACAAGGACGAGAACTTAAAGTTAGAACGGCACCTTTTTGTTCTCCTTTTACGCATAAGTACCTTCTTCCGCGATATCTTCTTCTTCTTCTTACGATAATCAGATTTATCAATAATTGTCATGGCTATTGGCGCATCCAACGTCCGTCCGCAGTCGTTGCAGTCGTCCCAAATCGGTGCCTCCTACGCCGATAATAGTCGTTATCAGTTGAATATATCTTTCCTCATTTTCTTCCTTTTTTTTTTTCATCGATAGATTTCGGTAGAACTACAGTTCGCGCGCGTGTCCTCGTTGGTGACGTAACGACGTGCGTTGCAGATCTATGTTTAGACACGGTGAGTTAAACTAATTAAAATCGCCGGTTACTAAACCTATTAAGACTACCGCATAAGCCTTATCGAGTACACATACAAATTTATAATATACAAGTAAAAGTACAGAATGGAAAACTGGCCGCATGTAAAACGAAGGATATAGATTGGATTTAGTAAGCTAAAGCTCTAAAGTAAGTGACATGCGCGACGAGAGATATATCTCTCGTATCTCGTTAAGAAGTAATTATTGGCGAAGCCAAAGTATATATCCCGATATCATCCCGAAACGTCGCTCCTCGAGTGGCGATCATTAGTCGGCCGCAGTCCGTCCTTCGTCGCGAGAAGAGTCCGGATCGTTAATATTCGTTAACGATCGTCGTCGTTCTACCGCTGTGAGAACATGTCTTGAAAATCGGCGAATAGTACGGTGGTGCGAAGCAACATCTACCTTTAGTCCGCGCAAATTCTTCCTATTCGACGTAAAATTTGTAATAAATAGAGGGAAAAAAGAGATATTTAAGACGCATACGCTAATGAGAGATATTCGTAAGTGAAACACCAAGGAGTACAAAACGATGAATTGACGGCGGGCGCACCATTCACAAAACGACACGCCTCGCCCCCGGTAATGTCTAATAAATTAATTGCGTAATTAATTGTCATCAGAAAATCGATGATACGATCGTTGGTAACGTTTCCATTGCGTTCTGCGATCCAACGACTATATTAAATACTCTCTCCGCGCACACCTGTCTGTCCCGCATGTGAAAAATCTTGCATTCGCGCATTCTCCCCTCTACCATTGGTTAATCGCAACACAATTACACGCACAATGTACTGTCATTGAGAACGCGCGAATCGACGCTCTCACATCTCGACATCCAGCTCCTGTTCTCTCGGCTGGCGCGATTTGCTCTTCGCCCTCCTCGTCTTGTTCGATATGGATTTCTTCCTCTTCGGCTTCGGCATGATCTCGCAGCTGCAGCCGCTGCGCACCCTGATGTAGTCCAGCGTCCACTCGGTCCTGGTGTCGAAGGGATCGTATCCTTCATTGTTGTAGTCCTAACGAGGATCGGTACACTGATCAAGCGATACCGACTCTCCATGCGGCCATGCGCGTGGCAAAATCTTTCTCATTACGATTATTCGCGACTACACGGTAGGGATGCCGATCTTTTTTCAAACAGATCGATTTAAAGATCGACTCGAATCACGAAGAAAAAATCGATCTTTAAAAAAGTCGGTTTGTAAAGAATCGATTTTAGAAAATCGATTTGAATCGGTATGCATAAAGTGAACCACTCATTAAAGTATACTATCTGTCAAATTTCTACATTCTAAAGTAGACCTAGTGTAATTCACATAAAGTTTAATATGAATTAAAGAAATTAAACAGATGGTGGGACTCTTGATTGTATTGTATGTGGCCACAACAAGATAGAAAAAGATCTTTAAATCTTTATGCTAAGGATTTAATTAGTTTGATTAAACATCAATCAAGGGTTTTTAAACATTATTAAATAAGAAATCACGTTTACTATTATATGTATATACATATATATATATATATATATATATATATAATATATACTATTATATGGAGTGGCTGTGATTGGTTCGCGCGTTCCGTTCCGCTGAAAATTTTCGGCCATGAGACATCGGCCTAAAGGCAACGTAATGTGCATCGTGCAGCTATTAAGTGAGTTAAAATTAAACTAAATTATAACTAAAAAGAATTAAAAAAACTATATTACTAGTAGAAACTGAAAAAATCGTGTTGACGATTTTCAGAATTTATAGATCGATCCTTGAATCGATTCAGTTCCAGAAAATCGATTTGAAATCGATCTTTTAGGCTCCGATTAATCGATCTTCGATTAAATCGATTTAAAATCGGCATCCTTACTACACGGCAATCTCGGGTAAACTGAGACGAGACAAACGTTTACCGCGATCTCAAGAATATATCATCGTATTCATTAGGAAGTTGAATTAGTTCTGGTTTCTAGCAATAGATGGCTTTAGTAACAAGTTAATGGTTAGTGCGAATATTGAAATCTGGCAACACTGAAGCTATTGTTACTGATAGTTTCAGTGCTTATATGCGTCCAAAATGGATTATACAAAATTGCATTTTTGATGTTCATTACTTTTTCAACATTCATTTCTTGTTTTGCTTGATTTGAGAAAATCGGCAACTGAAGCTCATGAAATGCTTATTGCAACTTATGGCTTATTGCAACTTATGATCAAGCTCTATCGTATTTCAACTGTAAATGTTGGTTTCTTGTTTTGTTCGATTTGAAAAAATCGGCAAGTGAAGCTCATGAAATGCTTATTGCAACTTATGGCTTGTTGCAACTTACGATCAAGCTCTATCGTATTTCAACTGTAAATATTGGTTTCAGTGATTCAAAAGTGATGATTTCGATTTGAGTAACAAAGAACGTATTGATCGACCAAAATGATTCGAAAATTCTGAATTGCAAGCATTATTGAATCAAAACTCCGTTCAAACGGAAAAAACAATTGGCTGAACAACTCAATGTCAATAAATCAATCAATAAACAATTTCTAAATGCCTATACCTACGCCATGGGAAAAATTCAAAATGGAGGCAAACGAGTTCCACATGAATGAAGTGAAAGTGCCATTGCAAATCGCTTGAATATCGCCATGTCTTTGCTTGTCAGATAGAAAAATAGTTTTTTGTGACGAATTGTAACTGGAGATACAAAGTAGATTTATTTTGATAATTTAAAGCGAAAAAATTATGGTTTGATCCAGGATAACCATAAATATCGACACCAAAACGGAACATTCACGGTCACAAAGCAATGCTCTGTGTTTGGTGAGATATGGAAGATGTGGTGTATTATGAGCTTCTAAAACCGAATGAAACAGTTACGGGGGAACGATACCAGTAACAATTGAACAAACTGAATGATGAATTGATGCAAAAAAGGCCAGCGATAGTCAGCAATAGACACAAAGTGATTCTTTTGCACGATAATGCTCGTCCACATGCTTCAATCGTTAAACAAACATTGTTAAAGCTCGAATGGGAAATCCTTCCGTAGCCAGCGTACTCTCCAGACCTAACACCATCTAATTACCATCTATTCCGATCGATGCAACACGCTTTGGCAGATACACGCTTCAATAATTAGGAGGATGTGCAAAAATGGGTGTCTGATTAGATTGCTTCGAAAGACAGATCGTTTCATCATCGCGAAATCGCTATATTGCCAGAAGATGGGCAAAAAGTCCCAGCTAAGGACGGAAAATATTGATTGATGTAAATTTAACCATTTCTTTAAAATAAAGATAAAAAATTGGCAAAATAAGGCCAGAATTAATTCAACCTCCTAATACAAGACAAGAAAAACACAGGAGAGACAGAGAGAGAGAGAGAGAGAGAGAGAGAGAGAGAGAGAGAGAGAGGGGGGGAGAGAGAGAGGGGAAGAAGTATGAATCCTGACGACTAAATTATAATAGAGTTTTGGATGGTTCGCGGTCGTACCTGTTCGCTAGTAGTGTTGACGATAGCATACACGTACGCGAACTTCTGCACGCATTTGGACCGGTTGCTTAACCTCCAGTCGATGAACTTGCACGGCCGGTCGAGGACGTCTGCCCTACAGGAGTACTCGAAGAACCTCTGGGTAATATCGCCGTTTCGAAAGAGCTGGACGAACATGTTTCGTCGATTTCGACCGCCGACCGGTTCCACCATATCCACAGTCGAGGGACAGCACTCGACCGCGTGGCCATTGCTGCCTGATTCCTTATGCAGGAGATGCTCCATATCTCGAAGTGACATTCGCTTGTTCATCAGCCCTTCCAGTGAGCTGCAAATCATGACGGAACGTGTGTGTTTTGTTCGCCGTTTTGCCAAATCGATCCGCGAACTTTCGCGATTTCTCCGACGCGGGCGGATCATTTCCGAATTCAACCCCGCGATCGCGATCGGCGTGGCATATTAAGGAGTGTCGTATTGACAGGCGATTAAACGAGAGATATTTATACACATATGCGTACGGACAACAAAATCTCGCTACGCCACGCCACGCCACATTGAGTCACGTTGAATTTAAATCGAATTTGGCTCGCCATCGCAATAAACACCGCTACTCCTCCCAGCGTGCTCGGCACCACCGCGCGCTAATAGCTCGTATCTAAATTACGCGGTAGAATGTTGTTGCGGTTAGAAAAAAATTACACGGTACATGACATTTTACTTCGTTTCATATTCATTATTGGCATTTTATATGCATGTCGCTAATAATAATTAAGATAACAAAACTGACCTATGTGAAGCTGGTCCCTCATTATCAGAATTTGAAAAAAATGATTAGAGTTCTAGTTCTAGTAGGTTCTAGAGTTCTCAATCGGTTTTAAAAATAGTTCTGGCGTTTTAAGCAGTCAAAAAGGCAATTGAAAAAAGGGGGGCCAACTTTACAAAATCATCCACTTTAGCGAGCTAGAATTCTTTCATTTCCGTTCGAATCGACTCAAGTCATAAGGAAAATCGACAGAACTCTTCGGGCCACCAGAACTCTAAAGAAACTGACCGATTTTCGAAAAGAAATTTTCTCCTAATTGGACTTAGAAATTTTTTTCGAAAATCAATCAGTTTCTTTAGAGTTCTGATGGTCCCCGAAGAGTGCTATCGATTTTCCTTATGGCTTGAATCGATTCGAGCGGAAATGAAAGAGTTCTAGTTCATCAGAGTCGTCGATGCCAAATTTTCTAAGTTCAATTAGGAGAGAATCTTTTTTTGAAAATCGATCAGTTTCTTTAGAGTTTTGGTGGCCCCCCGAAGAGTTCTATCGATTTTCCTTATGACTTGAATCGATTCGAGCGGAAATGAAAGAGTTCTAGCTCGCTAAAGTGGACGGTTTTGTGAAGTTGATCCCCCTTTTTTCAATGGCCTTTTTAACTGCTTGAAACGTCAGAACTATTTCTAAAACCGATTGAAAACTCTAGAACTCTTCGGGAGGCAACTAGAACTCTAATCATTTTTTTCAAATTTTGATAATGAGGGGCCAGCTTCACATAGGTAACAAACTGAGCGCGATCGATGAAACGAATATTCTAATGCGGCACGCAACGCGTTTTCTCGCGTTCCTATCGGTCATTATTCGATAAATCTCGCCCGATCAGCCACGATAGCCAAAGACAAAGCGATAACAGCGCGATTGAACGTTATCACGAACGTTGATATATTAATCTCGCTTTATAGCCGAATTCGGTCGCGCACGATACGATACGAGTCGATAGCGATGTTTACTTCCTCGCGACAAGGTCTCTACTCACAAATGAGGAAGATGCCCCTTGAAAAGATGTTCCTTGTTCTTTCGAGAGGAAATGGATAAAGTCAGATTGTTGGCGGCAGCAAGCCTTGGGCACAGGACTGCGGTCAGCCAAACCACCTGCAACAAGAGCGTATCAATTATTTCTTCACGCGTTTCATATTCGGAGACGTGAGGAGAAGGTCTTTATTTGTGACCAAGTAACTTTATTGCGAAAATTGATCATTAGGTCATTAAATATGAAATGTTCGATTTCCTTAAATATTAAATTCGACAGTCGATATCTTTGACATTTCACTTTTACAATTCTTGGTTTTTGTTGTTGTGAAGGTACGCTTTCAAACGTATGTTTTGGTTTGTGATTAACTTTCGAATTATCTTTATCACAGCAATTTTGTGTGATCATGGATAAGTCAAAGATTAAGGCAATATAATTTTTTTCAATGAAATGATTTTTAGCAAAAATCCCAAATTATGACTAAATCGGGTACGCTGTATCCAGTGATGATGTTTTCAACTTCCGATACTGACCGGAAATTGGCTATGAAGGTACAAGAAAATAATCATCAAGGAAAAGAAAGAAACCAAGCAAAAAAGAGGAAATTACTAGAAGACAAAAGAGATTTAATAAAAAAGTAAAAGGCGCAAAAGAAATTAAGAAACTTTATTAAACAGCCCATAATTTAAAATAAAATATATAATTATTATCTTATGCGAAACATACAGTTTATAGAATGTTTATAAATAAAATAATGATTAACTTAGAATAGTGTCAAATCATCAATATAAAGAAAACTCAATAAAAATGAACATCTTATTTGCATAATAATTATGTCCAGATATTGTTACACTTGCATTCTTTAAAATTTTGATTACATATCTTTGAACTAATTTTGAAATCTTTTATATCTTTCGTTCCTCAAAAATAAATTTTGATATTTCAGCTTTCAATTAATTGTGTATTTATATCATTAAATTTCATGTGTCTTTATAAAATTAAGCAATTAAATTTCCGGTTATTGGGACATTTATCTTAAGTAAAAATCATTTTTGCAGAAAGCTTGAACATCTGAGATTTTCAATACTTTATATTTTTCTAATTTATGGACAGATTTTAATATATTTATTTATAATATTCCCTTCAGAAATGGCCAAGTATCATTTAGTGACGTAAAGGTCTCGTTTTGAGGAAGTTTAAACATAATTGCATAAATTTAACAAATAGACATTTGGTGTCAAGTATCAACTTTTAAGATGGCAAGTAACTATTTGGACCGCCGCCGTTAGCCTTATCGTTTTCCGGTATTTACTATGGCTTTCAATTTACTACGACTTTTCAATTTTAGAATAATAATACGTGTTTAGAACAAACATAGACCCGTATTTGCCGATTTGTTAAAGAAAGACAAGTATAATTTTTGCAAACTGCAGCACTAATTGAGACATTCGACCGAAAGGATTTCTCGAGACTAGAGAGATTACAAACGACACGAGGAAACCCTCTGAATGTTCGCTTTGTGCTGGCAATGTTCGTTTGAGCGAATGCGCTTTCCTATTCGCGCCTTTGACAGCATTTATCGAGCGTATCCATTTCTATCTGCGACAGGTGTGCGTGTGTGTGCGTGCTTAACGCCGCGATCACGCTATTTCGAAGCGACACGACGCAAACAATAAACCACACGCCGCGTGTGTCGGCCGTCTAAGCGCCGAGAGACTAACGCGCATGACTGCGCGATTTTATATTTCGCGAATCGTCGCAGCAGAATAGGACTTAATATCGCGGCGAAGGGACGCGCGAGCGCGAGTGCGAGCGCGTGAGAAAATATCCGGGACGGCGGAGATTGGCGAACGCGAACGTGCAATAAAGCACGCTGTTAGTCACGCATCGCCCGAATATTCGCGCTCGTGCGCGCAGCACACGTGAGGCGCAGTGCACGTGTGAACTTACGGAGGTGAAAACATTAATTCGGCTTATAATTTTTATGCAAAACAGGCCTCACGGCGCCGTCACCGCCGCCGCCGCCGCCGCCGCCGCCGCCGCCGCCGCCGCGCTCGTCTCGTTAATACGAGCGCGCCTCTTTCTCGCGCGCGCACCACACTTTCGATTTAATTGCGCCGTACCAGCTCGTCACCAGAATATACCGCGGAACCGGTCCGCTCCATTCTCACCGGGCTAAATCTCTCCTTCTTCCCTCTCCTCTTCCTCCCCGCGCGGGAAGAGACCCTCAGGAGGCGCGCGTTCGCGCAATATTTACGATTGTTTATCGCGCCGACGCGACGGAAAAGGATAGCGCGGTACCGCTAAGTAGCTGTACTCGGCGATTCGGCCGGGGCCGCGGCTGCATTTGGCGAGAGAAACTCGGAGTGAATTTTCAGCGAGACGTCATAAAGCCGATTTCTCGAGTGCATTCGACGCGCGTACGTCTCGTTATTAACATCGCAATCTTATCGGCACCTGCCGAGCGCGGAGTCGGGCTCACTTTGTACGGCGAGTCGTAACGCGCGCAACGTTTATTATCGACTATCGTTGACGCGCTTCTTCATCGTCCGTTCCTTCCCTCCTTCTTTTCCCATTCTTTTCCCCGCGTTTCTCCGCGCGTTTCGCGCGACCGCCGACGGGCGGAGCACCGCCGACGGGCGAAAGTCAAACGAGAGAGAGAGAGAGAGAGAGAGAGAGAGAGAGAGAGAGAGAGAGAGAGAGAGAGAGAGAGAGCTCTCTCGCCGGCCGGCGCGGCTGATATAAACGAGACAACGCGAAATAGCTGGGCATCGCCGACGTTTAATTAAGCCATCGTTCCGCAGGGTGAACGGTTAACTAAGCGGCGCCTCCCATACGAGGAACTCGTATTGGGCAGAGGACTGCGTTCAGATTAAACGGATATTCACACACGCGGGGACCACACATCGCGCTCTCCCTCCCCGATCCTTATCACGCTTTTGCATCATCCGGGAGAACGGGAAAGGAATTCTCCCTCTCTCTCTCTCTCTCTCTCTCTCTCTCTCTCTCTCTCCCGTTAGCATCTCTCGCGATTTTAATCGTATTGAGACGTGCCGGCCGCGCTAGGCTCGCGGCGACGGATACCGCGCGGCATAACTTAGCGATACTCGTTACTTAATCGGCCGCTAAATCGAGACGCCGGGTGATCGTGATCGCGACAATCGCCCGACGCGTCGGAATCGTCCGCCCGCTCGTAAACACGAGCGCCGATGAAAAGGGAGGCAGTAGTTATTTCCCAGGTTCGGGGAGCCGCTTTTAGTACTATAAGCATCATCCTATCTCTGTTACTTACTGAAAGTTAAACAAGGACAAAGTATAGTGCTAAACTTATAGCGCTAAAAGTGCGCTCTCGAAACGCACCTATTGTGTACATGATGAAGTTAACCCCGTTTTTTTTGAAAATTATATTTTTGAAAGTTGTTTTTCAGGTTGTTGTAACTTTGTACTATATTAATCCTTTGAAGCATAACGGGACTCTGGAGTCCTTTTTTGTTTCATTTTATTACGTTTTTCAGGTATAAAAACTCGATTTCCTTGCTGTTTTTTGTGTTTTCATTCGAGTATTATGTTACTAAGTATGTTGTAATGTGTAATTTTCATAAATTGTTTATGAAATTGTTTATATAAATAGTTAAATGCCAAAAACTGTGTTTTTTGTACAAAAGATTCATGTCAGAAAGAACAATTATAGCGATATAGATGACCCAGGACTGATATCCTGGGGTTTTCGAGGTCGCTGATTACGAATCCGGGATCAGAATTTCGAAATTCAAAATGACGGATCCAATATGGCGGGCAAAAATGTTCAAAATCTTTCAATTTCGACAGAAATAGGTACATGGAGGTTTCTTGAGTCGTTGATTACGAATTTGTTATCAGATTTCCGAAATTCAAAATGGCGGATACCCAATATAGTGGATAAAAGTGTTCAAAATCCTTCGGTTTCGACGGAAATAGGTATATAAAAGTTTTTTGGGTCGTTGATCACGCATTTGTTATCAGACTTCCGAAATTAAAATCCATAATATCATATCAAAGTCAGCTATTTGATGTCGCCATATTGAACCCGCCATTTTGAATTTAAAAATTTTCCAAATTCGTAATCAGCGACCCAGAAAACCTCTATGTACATAATCAGTTTCTTTTATTATTGCATAGAAAAATTCGTACTTTAAAGGAATAAAGGTTTAAAATTAAAGGTCAAAGAAGATGGGGCTAACTTCATGTACACGCAGTTATTGGGTGCTTGAGTAAATTTCCGCCACTTTCTGTGAAATAAAAGGTTCTGTGTTTCATGAGAAACAGAAAGAATAGATTATTCAAAGTAATGCTTATCGTTAGCTACAACCTTTTCCCACTTTTTATGTAATAAGTGGATTCCGCGATAAAAGAACTCCGGTTCTTTTAAAGCGATCCAGCATTCGAGCCGATTTTTGATATATCTTCATACGAAGTGCAGTGCTGCTCAGCAAGGCCATGCTGCATGGACCGAAACAAATGATAATCAGAAAGAGCTAGGTCTGGGGAATGCGGCGGATGAGGTGACATATCCCAGCCGCGTGCTTCCAACGTATCCTTGACTGGTTTTGCGACAGTTGGTCGAGCATTTGTCATGTAACAAAATCACATTGTCATATCTTTTGGCATATTCCGGACGTTTGTCTTTCAATGCTCGGTTCAAATTCATTCTCAAATTGTTCTCGGTAATGTTCACTATTGATGGTCTGACACGGTTGCAGCAGTTCATAATACACCACGTCTTGCTGGTCCCACCAAATATACAACATAACTTTCCGCTCATGAATATTCCGTTTTGGCGTTGATGATGATAATGGTTGGCCGAGTTTGCTCCATGCTTTTGGTCGTTTCGGATTGTCATAGTGGATCCATTTTTCATCTCCAGTAACGATTCGATGGCCAAATGACTTCCTGTTCTGTCTTTGAAGTAACAATTCGCACATAGTTAAACGCCTTTCAAGGTTTCTTTCTTCCAATTCATATGGTAACCAGTTTCCGAGTTTTGAATCATTCCCATTGCTTTTAAACGTTTGTTAACAGTCGATTGATGAATATTTAATGCCTTTGACGATTCTTTCAACGTTTGACATGGATCTTCATCAAGTAATGCTTCCAGTTGTTCAT